GCAGCCAAATAAGAGCAAACGAAGTTAGATGATTACAACTACATTCATATCGGCTGAATGCAGGATTGAATAGTGGATTGGTACAACCAGTTTCGTTCCAACGCGAGTTACTGATGTCATAAAACGAACATAGATATGTGGCACTTACATTAGGCTGATACTCTGGTGATATTTTAAAATATAAAGAAATATTCATTGGAACAGATGCAGAACCCAGTGGTTGAACTGAACCAATGACAACCGAAGAGGCAAGTGACTTATTTGTTTTATTGTCAACATTTTCGTACATAGTTGGTTTATCTATAATAAACATTTCCAGAGAACTCACATTTCGCAATGATTCTCTGCTAATAACAGCACCCACGGTAAAGTTTGTACTTATAGAGGAATTCATAGTAGAATCTGTGACAGAGTTTCCACCCGAACCTCGTTGAAATGTTCCACCCAATACAATATTATTTGAACTTTGATTTAATTGTTGAGCAATAAGGAAAGAATTAACAGAGTTGATTGTAACACTAATACCATTCGTTCTGCTAACCGCATTGTCGATTTCACTAGCGGACAGAATGCTATTAGTACTGTTCGAGGAATTCGCATTCGAAAACGATGAAATATATAACGACAAAGCATTAGCTATATCTAAGGAACTAGCAGAACCATTGTTAATTATTCCTGCAGAGTAATTCTAAAAGGACAAATATTAGTGTAGCAAATGACATGATTGGCAACGAACCTGTCCAACGTTGTAGGGAACACAAGTACCGTTAGCTAGCGCCACATTGGAGAAATTGCGACACGCATCAGGAGAATAGGTGGATATTGTCGTTGTTATTGTCGCAGCTGTCGTAACCAAAGAACTTGAACCAATACTGATCGATGATGTCGTGAGGACAGTGGATGATATTACACTCGAAATTGAATTCGAAAATGTGGCCGTTGTAGGTGTACTCAATTGAACAGTTGCTATCACAGCCGAAGTAGTGTTGACATACATTGCCGTCCCACTGGTTGAAGAAACCGTTGAAGTAGATACATTGCTGGACATGGTGGTGATTGTGCTCACCACTACGTTACCAGCGGTAGGACTTGTTGCCAACTGTATCGGCGTCATAGGCATGCTGGTCAAGGCGTTAGCATTCATCAACGTGCTAGCCGTCGTTGCAGAGGGAACAACGCTGGTTTCTGTGTCCACGCTGGTCGCGGGCGCTATTGTGACAGCGGAAATGCCAGTACTATTCATAGGAGCAGTTGGAGTTACCCAAGTAAATTCTTCAGTAGTGACACCGGTGCCAGTTGTCAAAGTTTCCATGTTATTAGGGGAAATAGAAACTGACGACAAATTACCATTGCTAGTTTGGGTGATCGGTATGTTTGAGAATGAATTCTCAGTTCCAGCGCTACTTGTTCCGCTGGGCCCTGTTGTACCGGTTAGTGGAGTAACTTGTTCTGGAGAGATGCCTGCAGCTGCTGTCACGGTTCCTGCGTTGTTTGGCGAAGTAGTTACAGGTGATGAGAGTTCATTGCTCGCTTGGGTGATCGGTATGTTTGAGAATGAATTGTCAGTTCCGGTGCTACTTGTTGCGCTGGGCCCTGTTGTACCGGTTAGTGGAGTAACTTGTTCTGGTGAGATGCCTGCAGCTGCTGTCACGGTTCCTGCGTTGTTTGGCGAAGTAGTTACAGGTGATGAGAGTTCATTGCTAGTTTGGGTGATCGGTATGTTTGAGAATGAATT